AAAAAAAAAAAAAAAAAAGAAAGAAAAGCGACGAGACTGCCTCTCGTTGCAACGTGTTACAAATAGTGTTTCCTCTCAGTCCGGTAATTCGCACTGCAATACGTGTAGATTCTCTCGCACGTACGTACGTATGTATGTATGTATGTATGTATATATATATGTAGGTCTCTCCGCTACGTTCTCATCTTCGAAGCTGCCGAAATACGAGTAACAGTGTTGCGAATCACCTTTTACATCGCAATTTATAGTTACAAGTGTGATAAGCAAATGCGATGCGCATGGTGCAAGCAGAGACGTGCTGTGTAATTGTCACGTCGACGTCGCCGTGTGGAAGTCCGACGCAGAAGTTCATGTAAACCGTTTGTTCTAGCACTAGCGTAACTCTCGGCTCCCCACTTGTTTTCGCTCTGATCTAGCTACGATCTCATCACGTCGCCATTTCATCGCGTCGCTCTTTCATTCGCGCCATCGCCATCACTCCCTTTATCTTTTTCGTCGTTATCATTGTATTCTCACACTCTTATGTTTCCGATACTCATCCCATCGCGCTCAAGGTGTCTGTCCATGAGGAATCACGTACAATATCTCTGTAATCGACGACTCGAGGAATCGGGAGAACCGGAGACGTGCATACCATCTCTCCTCGCACCCGATTTATCGTCCCCACGGACGTACATCTTGAGCGGGGAAAACCTTTTTTCTTTCCGTAGATAAATATGACAATTTTTATTTTTATTACAACCTGGCACGTTTTGTCACACGACTCGCGCGAACGCGGGCGAGAAAGTGAATCGATGAGCACTCTGGATCGAGACGCAGTTTCGAGTTTTGAGATCATCGTCGTTTGGTCGTGTCTCTGAAGCGAATGATGAGAAATTGAGAACGAACGTGTGATGCCATAACTGTGGCAAGACGTGCCCGCGGTTTGCTTGTTTGTCTCTGACTTAATTTCGCAGTTGTTCACGCGCATCACTGAACGATCTTTCATTTCCGTTAACGTGTGGGCCCTTCGACCCTGTCGTAGAGCGAGGAGGTCGCAGCGAACACTCTGACGATGTTAGACCATCAAGGCGGTAAGCAGTTCCCTCAGCAATAAAACAAACAACAGAAAAAAGAGAGTAAAAAAAAAAAAGAAAGTGAATTTTCTTGTCGAAAAAAATGAGAATATTGAAAGCAAAAAAAGAAAAGAAAGGCGAGAGCAAAGTGAAACGAAGAAACGAAAGGAAATAACGAAATGTGGAAAGAATAAAAAAAAAAAAAAAAAAAAAAAAAAAAATCAAAAAGAACGAACGAACAAATTTTTTTTTTTTTTTCTTAGTTTACTAGATTTCGAGGAAAAAATGGTTGGAGAACTCTTTTTCTATATATATTTTTTTTTTTTTTTAATATTCTTGTTTGCTTCAAAGAGAGGACAGGATGTAGTTATCGTATACACTTCTTCTTCACGGGTTGACGGGATTCGAACGTCGAAGTAGGATACACTTTGACACGTATCGTTCGATGGTATTTGTTCTTTCACAAGATACGCGATTTGTGTAAATTCGTCGTTGATTTATTTCAATATCCCTGGGAGAAACGTTGCGCGTGTTCTTTAACAGCTCGAGTTCCGTTGATCTTCGGACAAGATACGTGCAATCGAATCGTTGAATCGCGCGACCCCGACATTTCCGACGTAAATACGAGAAAAGAAGGAAAATCGCGGCGAAAGAGAAGCAGCTTTTTTTCATTTTTTTCTTTTTCTCTTTTTTTTTTTTTCTTTTTTTACATGCTACGACCGTGCAAGTGTATTTCCGCCGTGTCTGTTCGGGAACTGAGAACGCGCGTTCAACTTTGATTCTCTGTGGTTCTGATCTCTTTTTCTGTCCTTTAGCTAAAACAACTTTCTAATTCTGCATCTTACAGCGCCACGGTGCTCTGAGAGCGCCAACACTGGAAACGAAGCGTGTCTTTTCTTCCTTTAATCTGCTTCTACGCCTTTGTCTGCTCCTATTTAACATTCGACTTCTCGCATCATCGCCACCGCGCCACTCTCGCCCTTAATTCGATTCGGTTCATCGATTAAATCCATTTCGTTCTCCTCCGTCCCCCCGTCCCACTCACCACAACTCTATCTATCGTAGACTCGATTATCCAGCTCCTCGACGAGACTTTCAGCTACCCCCTCCCCCCTCCCCCCTGTAATAAGAGAAATTGTATAGCAGAGCGTGTCAACGCTGCGTTTCGCTAGTCAACGCTAATTGAAATCATTCATTTTCTCAACTGTGGCTAATTTGTTTTTTGCTCTTGGAAATTTCACAGATCGACGTGCAATTTGACGAACGTTCCCCCTAAAAAA